AAACTATCCTATTTAGAGCAAAAGACTTTCACTTTCTTTCTCTCAATATATGTATTCCGCCTTTCAACTCTGTTGTTCCTAAAATTCATTCTTGCATTTTAGAGAACACAAACTCATACCAGACAGAGAAGTTCAGGAATTTCATTCCACTATATCATGGTATGGTTGCCTCTATTTCTAACTAACTCAGCTGCCTGTAAATTTAAGAATTGTTTATCAATTTGATTTGGAGTAACTGTAGCAAATAAAATGTTCTTAATGAATATAGGGAAATATATCATTAAATTGAAAAAATGATTATCACAGTTTTTCCACCTAGCACCAGCCAACATTTTCAACTTTCAATTATGTGGGAAAACAAAAAATAAAGACAACTCAGAAAATAGCAATCCTATAATGGACAGTATATCATTCACTGTGATTGCCATGTTATCTGCAGGTATTTCATAGACCACAAAAGAAACATTGAGCCTATTAAATACCAAGTATCCATTTCAATAAATGTGCTCACAGCACTGCATCGTTGACAACTGTGATTTTTTTTTCTGTATGAGGGATTGAACTCATGACCTTGTGCTCTCCAGGCAGCTCCTTGTATACCTCCGCTCAATCCCCAGACCCAACAACTTTAGATAGTAAATATGACTATTAACAATGTTTAATTTGCCATTGACATATTTAGTTATAAATTTTGTAAACTTCCATTTTCACAAATGAAATTATTTTCTTTCCTTGCGGTTTAAATTACTTTTTTTTTTTTTTTTAGGTACCAGGGATCAAAGCTACAACCTAACACTTTCCAGGCAGGCGATTCTGCCTCCTGAGCTAAATCCCTGGCCTGTATTAATGAATATTTCAGTTTATTCATTCAAATAGAACTGTGATTTTAGCAAAGGATGTCAAGGTAGACAGAAATTGATATACAATCAGAGAGGAACTGGAACCTCAAATAGTCAATGCAAAATACTAAATACAACAATCAGTGTTACAGGCACAGCTGAAGAAAGCCCGACCTGAATGTGAAGATGCAGTGACTAGGTCTACATGCTCCTGAAGAGAAAAACAACAGCTTGAAATGTACTACAGTTACCACCACCCCCTCCAGGAAGTCCTGATAGGCATCAATTACCATACTCAATGACCAGAACAACTGGACTATTGTTCGCACAAAGTGCCTTGGCTCTTTCCACATACCTTTTCTGGCTGACTTATTCCTTGTTGAATAACATTAGTTAAGCAGCTATAAGCTTATAGATTGATTGTAGTCTGAGATGCACACTGTACCCACATTGTGACTTTCCTGTATAAATGACCCCTGACAATAGGTCTAAACACCGAAGACCACTCCAGATAATTCAGGGCTATTCTTCTCTCTTTTTTTCTAAGAAAATTTTTGAAATTTTTTTGGTTTATGACTTCATTTCTCAGTGTTGTGAGTCATTAAACTTGATGCATTTGATATCAAACAGGGCAGGATTATATTTCTCTTATCTCAATTTAAATATGAAATGTCTGCTAAAGGCATTGTTCCAAAGCCAGAATTTCAAGCTGCTTGTTTGCCCTGAGTTTAAAATTTCAATGAGCTTTTAGAATTCCTCAGTCTAATGAACTGCAAATGTATTGGAGGAAGGAGGTCACTGTTGTCCTGTAGCACAATAGGTGCCATTCCTAAGTATGTGTTTGTCACTGCCTCCTGGATGCCACTACATGGCCTTCTTTCCTCTGCAGCATCATTCAATAATTCCCATTTTACATAAGTCAAATTTCACTCAGCTCTATTATTGTTTGTTTTCAATAGTCTTTCTGTCTAACTGGTTGGTTTTTTTTCATTTTACTTTTTGATTTAAAGACATAGTCTCACTTTGGAGTTCTGGGCAGCCTTGCACTCACTATGTAGGTTAGGCTGTCTTTGAATACATGGCCATTCTCCTGTTTCAGCTTCTTCATTGCTGTGGAAAAGAGGTGGGCATTATAGCACATGGCATTTGTCTTTTTCTCTTCTCCTTTTCACTACTATTCTTTCACTCCAGGGGCACTGTCATTTAATCCTGAGGTTTGCTTGTGTCAGTAAGGTTTCTGCAGCTCAAGGTGATTTTGTGAACAATAATATAGGAAGCCAAGCAACCCAATTGAGAAATGTGGAATTTCATTATCTGGGCTCAGCACCACTTACATACAGAAACCCTAACCCCATTTCAGGATCTAAACAAGAGGCTCTGAACTGGAAAGTTAGAGATGTTTTAAAGATAGAATCACAAGAAGATCCTGTTGGAAATCATTTAGCTAGAATCCTATAATTTTTGAATGACAACTCTATTCAGCTTCTTTTGTTGAGTAGGATAATTTTTTTCTTTGGGTACAGCTCATTTTGCTTTTCTCCTGGGACTTATACTCTCAGTGATTTTCCATTTTTCTGAGTGAAATACAAGGGCACTAGTTAAATGCAAAGCTCAAGATGGCATCTATTAAGCCAACCTACAACACAGCTAAGTTACAAGTCTCAATATTTTTTAGGGTAAAAACACACATATCTATAATCCCATACTCAAGATGCTGAGATAGGAGTGCTGCTTTGAGGTTAGGGCAATTCTGTGCTCCATAAAGTGTTCAAATCTAGCTCATATACATAGAGAAAACTTGTCTCAATAAAACAAAACTAAACTAAACAAATAAAACCAAACAAAACAGCTGAATGGAGACTGATTTCTTCAAATCTTAATTCCACATCTTGGGGATTAATTTTTGTATATACACATTTTTTGAGACAGCAAATTTAATGCTATATTGCAATTCACAGCTAATCCAACAGCCAAATAGGAGCACTGATTCTTATGCTGAGTCACTGCAAGAGTCCCTGTGCACTGTCTCTAAAGCAGAGCTCATAGTAAAAGTCTGCAGGACCAGCATCCATAAACACAGAGGCAGACAAATATCTCATGAATCACTTGATGCACTAACAATGATATCTCTTCAAATCTCATTTAGGCCACTGAGTCCTTTGTTCTTAATATACTTAAGCAGCATTTTGATATTTAAATTTGGATTCATAGAACAAAACATAAATAACATCAAATATGATACATAAATAATCTCAAATGTTCATGGAAAACTGCTGTATGTAAAAAATGTATAAACAAAGAAACCAGGTACAAGTTTCAAATTATAGCTCAGTGTCACCAAGTGATCACCAAGTGATCACTCTCCATTCAGATATAAGAAATATATCTTGGGAGGCTGATGCAGGAGATCTTCCTAGAGTTTGGGGCTAGCCTAAGTTACAGAGCTGTCTGAAATATAGAAACCCTGACTGAGACACCTCAAAGACAATGTGAAACTTGAAAAGTGACTGCATAGGACACCTTTGGTTTGCTTTAAAAATTATATCCATACAATATAGAAAAATTCCATAATATTCAACATTTTCTGAGGAACAATGTTTATATCATACATAGTATACAGAAAACACTTTCAGAGCTGGGTATTTAACTCAGCAGCATGAACACCTTCCTAACAAGCTTGAGATCATGAGTTCGATCCCTGTTAAAAAAAAATTCAAATTTCACCTTCATGACACTGAGTCATAATTAAAGATAATCAAAACTAGATCTCAAGTGAAGAACACAGAATTCATGGGTTGACAAGGATGTGGAATACTGATTCTTACCAGAGCTGGTGTTATTCACCTCAAGGAAGAAACCATAAGCCAACTTTAACTTCATGCTTACCCTAAGAACTACCTGACTTTCAGGGAAGACCCTCTCTGTTGTACGTCCTGCTATTGGCACACTGTGCCCTGCTAGTCACTTCCACATCCTTTCCAAGCTTGTCTGATCCACCCTAAGCAGAAAAGCATTCATGCCTTAACTACTGATTTCCCTGCACAATTTCAATTTAGGACATCTCTTTACATGAATTAGTAAAGTCCATTACAGAGCATTTCCATATTTAAACAATGTATATGATCAACCAAGCTATTAAATCACCTCTTAATTCAGATATGACACCCATATTCCTTTCCATTCAGAAGGATATCACGTGTATATATATGTTCATGCAAATGACTAAATTTAGGCATTTTTCAAGGAGAATTTAACAGGCAGCCCTTTCTGGAATTTGTCCTTAGTAAACACACTTTTACCTGCCCTTGATGACAAATTTATATCTGCTTCATTTTTCTCAAAATTTAAACCTCTACGGATGTTCTCCCAAAGATCGTCTATGAGCACATGTGTCACATCAAGTATGTTTAGAAATTCTTTGCATTGTTCTGTATAATACACAGCAGTTCATCCGGTGTTTGGGAAGCCTTACTCCACTGAGGCACATCACTACACATCTTTGAATTCTCAGAACCTTTGCCTCCACCTTTAATGAGCATGGAAATATGAGAACATAGTAAAAATTTAGACCATCACAAAATACATAAATGCATAAGTTTAAGGAGAGCAGCTGTGGCTATGAGGTCCCGCAGCACAGACATTTATAAACTTCTGGCTTTCAGATCTGTTGCTGACAGGAATGAGAGCAGACACGTAGCTTATTACAGCTGCACCCAGCTTGAAAACACTTAGGAATCAGGGTTTCCTCATGCCCTGTCCTGGGCCAGACTGTTGGAGGAGAAAGGGCAGCAGGCGATTTCAAAAATGGCATTGTGGCCTGGTGATACCACAGTGGCGACAACATTCTAGGGACCCAGAAATATCCTGACCCCAGCGAGAGGTAAAAGTGACACAGAATGACTCCCTGCTAGCACTAGAGCACCTCAGGGTCTGAGGCTAACAACACAGGCTCTACACAGAACAGCTGCTTCTCACTACTGGTTTTTTTTTTTTTTTTTGGTCTTTTTACTTTTTATCAGTAACGGGGATCAAACTCATGACTGCCTGCTTTCAAGGCAGGTGCTTATGCTGCTGAACTAAACCCTCAAACCCTTCTCACCACTTCTAACTGGTCTCAAACGGATTCCACCCCATTTCAATGCTCCCATCCCATATCATCACCATTGCGTAATTTGGAGGTCACCCAGGTTTTCTCTAAGCAGTCCACGGAGAACAGAAGCAAAAAACAGTTGTCTAGCAAACATCTAGTACTCCCTTTTTGGCCTTGGCCTTGCAATTGACGCCATGACACCGGAAGAGACAACCTTCATTGGCCCTCCTGATTGGATACTTCTTACAGCCCGCCTCTTCATCACTGATTGGCTCCTGCTAAAAATTAACAAACCTATGAAATTGAAGCTTCCCTACATGAATTCCCCTGCTCTTTAACCAAGAGGAAATAACTTGTTCAAAAAGGTCCATTTCTGATGACCCATTCTCAATTCCTGCCTATATGCAACTCCCTGCTACTTTCACTTTTCACTTACTCAGGTCCTCTGTAGCAGCGGTCTTCTAGGAACTGCCGATTCTGCTTCCACTGGAAAAACGTTCTGAATGCTTATATTCCAAGCCCCAAGTTCGGGCGCCAGGTGCCAGGTGGCAGGTGCCGCGGCCAGCGCGGGGAAGGAGTCAGGTGAGAGACTGAAGACACAGGGAGACCAGTTGCTCAGGAGGCAAAAGGCGATTTATTGAAGGACTACAGAGTTTTTATAATGTTTCAAAACAAAGAGCAGTACAAGTCACTTCAGGACACTTTCTTGTGCACACAGCAAAGGTAAACATGTTCCTGGGCCCGTGAGGAACTTCTATGTTGTGCAACCCAGGAGGTAAACATGTTCTTGGGTCCATGAGAAACTTCTATTTTTTATGTTATGAAGCTATTCCCAGGTTAATATCAGCGCGATGCTTTGTCTAGAAGGTTGAAGTCACTGCAGGATGAGGAACTGGTTGAGGTCCAGCTTCAGTGTGTGGTTTCCCACACCGGTTCACTGCGGGACCCCTGGCTGCTGCTCCCAAAGTATCCGCCTTATTTCTTAGACTAAGCCTCGCATGGCAATTTCATTAGCAGTTGATTCTAACTTAAAAGGTTTCAAGTCCAAACGCACATTTCTCATTTGCCCAACAACAGTTCTCACAAAATATGGAAAAATTGTTATCATGACAATAAATGCTAGAGCTCCAATACCAGCTGGAATGATAAAATGCGAAATGCCCGTGAGGCTTGGGAAATGGCTGGTTAATGCGTTGAATATTTGCTCAGTTTCTTTTGCTAGGTCAACTTTTATTGCTGGTGCATTCGTTATATCTTGGATAGTCTTATGCAGCTTAAGCAAATCTAGAGAAGTATTGGAATTATGCCATATTCCTAGCAAATGATTTTTCACCCTATCCCAAGGTACATCACTTTCATTATATCGATGTGAAGTAACACAAATATGTTCATAAAGGCATGACATTTCAAAGATGATTGTACTTGCAAAACATATAATTGATCTCCTAAGGTTATTACTGTATATTGTAGAGCATTTAATTTTTGTTCAATCAGACTATCCCAACTTTCCTGTATTTTCAAAACCAAAGAAACATTATGGGATAACTCATTAACATAGGATGCAGTTTGCACACTTTCTGTAAGAGATATTATGGACATTGCAGTGGAGGCTATCAAAGTAATAAGTACAGCAATTCGTCATTAACATCCCAACAAATCGTTTGGCCCGATTTAAAAGCTTGTTTAATTTTTGCAAAATAATCACTGAAGGATCTTGATACAACTCAGGATATTAACATGATGATATTAACATGTAAAAATATAACGTGATGATATTAACATGTAAAAATACAAATGGAGGTTGTTTGACCAGTAATATGGATGAGTGGTTTCGTGAAGCATTAACACAATTGGATAAGATGCGATCTTTACAAGTAATTTCATAAGATTCACTGTTCTTATTTACAGTAAGTTCTCCACTTATAACACCCTATGGTTCAGAAATACAAGCTATGATAGTTACATTTTTTACTGTGCCATTACAGAAATAGCATCCTGTGTCCCTAACTGTTGCCATACAACTTTTTCCTTTGCAACAGCAATGTAATCAAGTGCTGCAACCAACTTCCACAGCATTGTAAAAAAAGGTGATGTTATTCCTTGTCCATATTCCATATAATAAATTTCGGGGCCTGTAGGTTGTTTCTCTGTAATCACTCCAATCACATAGATCTTTGTAACATTTGGTGTAACTATGATGGCACAAATGCCATGAGGTCCATATACACTTTTGCTTGGATATTTTTGTCTACATTCTGGAATATGCTCAGGGGGATTACCTTTTCCCACTCTAGTTTCACTACTGTTGCGAAATACATACATCGTATCTACTCCCCAGTGCATTCCATTAGTAAAGTTTCCATCCCAATCAGAATATCTTTCTATTAATGTACAATCCTTATTTTTTTAGAAAAACATAGGGGTAATGAAGCAGACAATTCAGTGTAATTATATACAATAGAGATAGGTTGTATATGAATGGAAGAAGGAAAACTTAAGACACGAGTATTTTTTACATAAACAGTAACATCATGGTCGTCGCCCCATGACATAGGGTGCAACAAAGGAGGATTAGGTACAAATGCCCAATAATTATCCGAACGCACAGGCATATAAAATATATGCAAAACCCAAATAATGCTTAGCAGTTGAGCCAAAAACAGAAGAGTTTCATCTCTTGTCGCAGGAGGACTCCTGGTCTTTGTTCTCCTCCTCGAGGTCATGGTTAGTCGAAGCATCATCCTGCTGCAATTTTTCTATCTTGCTTTGGGGCATGTCCTACACAGCGTTCTGGGATTCACCTGGGTGTATCAGCGTCTTTGGGAAAAACACAAACACACCCTCTTCCCCATATCAATACTGGGTCAGGGCCATGTAATAGATTAGTTAATGGGCCTTTCCAATAAACCATTGGCTTGGAGGGAAAATCAGGAGACCAATGTCTCTCAGCTGCAGATCTATTGGAAGCATCAAAAGTTAAAATATTAAGAATGTAAAGAGCATGGTTAAGAAGGGTTTTGGGACAATACTTATACCATCTCTCCCTTTTTAATTTCTTTAATGTGTTTTTTAGTGAGAGATTAGCACGTTCAACAATTCCTTGTCCTTGAGGATTATAATGCGGTCCAGTAACATGTTTAATATGGAATGTCTGACAGAATTTGGCAAAGGGTTTACTAGCATATGCTGGGCCATTATCAGTTTTAATGGATCGAGGAATGCCCAGGAGAGAGAAACAATATACTATGTATTGTATTACATGGGTGGCAGTGTCTCCAGTCATATGTGAAACAAGCACGTAATGAGAAAAGGTGTCTATGGTAAGGTGTAGGTATTTTAATGACCCAAAAAAAGGATAATGAGTGACATCCATCTACCAGATGTCATTTGGACGGAGTCCTCGAGGGTTGACTCCAAAATGTGTTACTGGAAGGAGAGGCTCACATGAGGGACAGTTTTTAACAATTTCTCGTGCCTGCTGCCTTGTTATACCATATTGATAACGTAAAACCTGTGCAGCTTGGTGAAGAAGAGCATGTGACTGTTGTGCTTGCTAAAGAGCAGACAGTCCAATATGCGTGGCTCGATCTGCAATTGCATTTCCATGAGTCAAAGCGCCTGGAAGATTAGAGTGACTGCGAATATGTCCTACAAAACAAGGTGCAGATCGAGAATGTGAAGATGATTGAATAAGACCAAATAACTGTGCAACAAGGATATTAGCAGTGTTGATAACAGGGACGCATTCGAAAACAGACAAGGCTTGTACTACATATTGGTTGTCTGAAAACCAATTAAAGGGAACATCAAAGAAAGAATAAAAGCCTGATGAACAGCATAAAGTTCAGTCTCCTGAGCTGAATTACTCCTCAATTGCCATACAGAAGTTGGATTTCGGGATACCAAAGTAGCTTTTCCATTGGAGCTTCCATCTGAAAATAAAGTAATAGCATTAACAAGGGGTTTCATGTGTATGATCTGAGGAAATGAAAAGGTAACTTTGGAGGCAAATGGAAGAATTTTAAGCTTGGGATAATGATGTTGGATTTGACCGGTATAGGATGCTAGAGAAAGAGGAAAATAATCAGTCATATGAAGCAACCATTCAAGCTGTTCAGATGTATAAGGGATTATAATAGAGTGAGGGTCTCCTCCTAAATGCATTATAGACAATTTTCTTCCTTGCATAATCCTTTCTGCAACCAAAGAGGCATAAGGGGGGAGAGCCTTTTTCGGGGAATGCAAACCATGAATCCATGAGAGAACTCCCTGCTGATAGAACACACCTGTAGGGGAAAAAGACGTGGGTATGATGATAAGAGACCAGGGAGTGGAATAATCACAATAATGAAGCTGCACACTTTGAAGAGCCTTATTAACCAGTTCAAGAGCTCTGCGAGCTTCTGCCGTCATTTGGCGGGGTGAACTTGGGTCAGAATGTCCAGCTAATAAGGAACACGATGTGTGGAAGTCTTGAGTAGTTAACTTTAGAGATGGCCGGATCCAATTAATTTCACCTAAGAGTTTTTGAAAATCACGTAAGGTACGCAAGTGAGAAGTATTAACAGACAATCGTTGAGGAGAAAAATGCCATGGATACAAGTGAAAACCTAGATAAGAAAAAGGAGGTGAAGTTTGGACCTTCTCAGGTGCGATGACCAGCCCATTATTTGTTAAATCCTGATGAAGAGAGGCATATACTTGCAAAAGCATCTCAGAATCTTGATGGACTATTAAAATATCATCCACATAGTGAATAATGGTGGCAGAGGAAAATATACATTTGGTACTGGCAATGGCTGCATGTGCAAACTTTTGGCACAAGGTGAGGCTCGAACCCACGAGCCTGAGATTATGGGTCTCACGCTCTACCGACTGAGCTAGCGGGTCTGCTTGTAACTGGGTGGCTCAGAGACTGCTGGCAGAGCAGAAGGCGGGGGTGGGGGGGCATAAGGAGGATGCCACATTCTCTGAGGATTTGGTTTTTCTTATAAAACTTTCTCGAGTTCTTTTTTTCCCATTTACTAGACTCAGAGTCCCTTTTCAAACAGTCCTTAATTACAGCCCAAATTGGAAACACATCCACAGGAACCTTCTCAGGAACCCAAGCACAATAATAATCTTTAATCTTTTCTCCTACTGTTTTCCAAGTCTCAACATTAACCGTTCCCTGTTCGGGAAACCAGGGGCAACCCTGATGCACAAAAT